GATGTTACTATGAAGAAGGCGTGCCAGCATCTGGAAATTACACATTTTCCATGTTTCGCACATACCATTAACTTGCTGGTTCAAGAAATTTTGAAAATGGAAATAATTCGACCTATACTCACCAAGTGCAAGGCTGTTGTCGCATTTATTAAGCGTAGCTCGACTGCAATGGCAAAATTTAGGGAAGCTCAGATGGTGACAGACCCCCTAGGATTAGTTCAGGAAGTCCCAACAAGGTGGAATAGTGCGTTCCAAATGATCGAACGGATTTTGCAGACCAAGGAGGCACTCTCAATAGCTCTACTAGGGACAGCAAAGGCTCCTGCTCCTTTCTCTGCGGATGAGGTCGATATTTTGGAAGAACTCTGTGTGCTACTTCGTCCATTTGAAAAAGCGACAAAGTTAATATCGGGCGGAAAGTACCCTACAATGTCCCTCGTTATTCCTATGGTGTGCGAAATGCAAGTACAAGTATTGTCATACAAAAATAGCTTTAAAACCCCAGAAGTGATTCTTGCGTTCGACACTTTAAGTGATCGCTTCAAAGATCGCTTTGGCCACTATGAGACACGCACCGTTGCAATGATTGCCACAATGATAGACCCAAGGTTTAAAAAGCAGGGTTTTCAAAAAACTAGTAACGCTGATCAAGCATGTAGCGCCTTAGAAGATGACCTTCATAATGTTTTAAACAAATTGGATCAAGAACAGTCTTCAGCAGCGTCGATAGCGCCTACACCACCAGATCCAACTGATTCTTCAAGCTATTTTACAATGCTTCAATTAAAATTGAACGCAAGAACAAAAACGACTGGTTTTGATGCAATCGTATTGCTCAGACAGCATGTTGAAAGCACAAATGAGCCCGAAACATGTGATCCCTTACATTTTTGGATGGTAAATATACAAATTGCGTATTGTGAATTTATTAAAATAAATTATTCTTATTTCAGCAATGTTCAAAGAACATGAAGCCTTACCAGGAGCTGGCAAAAAAATTTTTGTGCATTCCTGCTACGTCCTGCGAGTCCGAACGAGCTTTCAGCAAGGCGGGGCAAATCATTTCGGATCGCCGTACCCGTTTGAAGTCAGGCATCGTAGATCAGCTAATGTTCATAAATAAGAACTACAACAGCTTTAAAAAGTAATCTCACTAGACTGTAACATGATCTCATTTGATTGAATTTTTGATTTTGTTTTTTATTTTTAGTTTCCTAAATGAATTTTTGGTTTTGTTTTTCATTTTTAATTTCATAAATGAATAAATATTTTGTTTTATATTTTTAATACAAATTCCAATGAGATTTTTAATTATACTTTAAAATATAAATTATTTTTTGGAAAACATCGATGTTTCATTCGATGTTTTCTGAAAAACATCGAAAAACATCGATGTCTGCAAACATCGATGTTTCTGCACCTCTACTTTACAATCTGATCTCAATGCATTTCAAACATGGTGCATGAATAATGATTTAAATTTAAATGGTTCTAGGTGTAAACTAATGACCTTTTTCCGTGTCAGCCCTCACTATTCAACTTATACTTTAAGCGGTTGTGGGTTAGATAGAATAACGCATGCTGACGACCTTGGAGTCTATATGGATCCTAAACTTAAATTTTCTGATCACATTACTACATGGTACATAAAGCCAGGGGTGTGCTTGCATTTATCAAAAGGTGGTTGAAGGAATTCGATGATCCCTATGTTACTAAGACATTGTTTATTTCATTAGTCCGACCAATTCTTGAGTACTGCGCTCCAGATTGGAGTCCCCAATATGGGGTGCACATAGACCGAATTGAGTCTGTGCAAAAAAACTTTTTAATACTTGCCTTACGGGGACTTAACTGGGATACAAGCCTAACACTGCCATCCTACTCTAGTAGACTACTTCTAATTAACTTACCATCATTAGTTAATCGAAGAACTATGCTTGGTATTACGTTTATTAGGAATCTTATTCATGGTGATGTGGAGAGTCCCGAGTTACTGGGTCGCCTGCATTTTAATGTGCCAAATAGATTCGCAAGAAACTATATTCCTCTAGTTTTAAATCATTGTATCTCTAATTACGCAATGCATGAACCTTTTAGAGTACTCTGCAATGACTATAATAGACTATATCACCTAATATCTACTACCGACTCACTGCCTATCTTTAAATCAATAATACTATCCTACTTAGCAAGTAATTAGTTTTATTTTATGTATCTTGACTATTCGTATTTGGACCTACATGTATTTTTAATTGTCTATTGTGCAATTGTCTTCATTGTCCGCGATTTCGTTTACTCGCCCAAAACGGTGTAGAACCCCGCGCGTAACAAGCATTGCTTGGTGTCGTCAGGGCCACTTGATTGTACTGACCATAGTGCATCAACGTCCAATTAAAAAAAAAAATTTATAAAAATATATACATTTGCGAAAAAAATAATAGCACCACTTCGTCACAGGTTCGTCACAGGTTCTATTGGAAAAAAACATACTGGATGGAAAACTGTCAGGGAAAGCGGCTCGAAAGCGGTTAGGTTTTGGATCATCTTCATTACAAGTGGTATAAACTGTGAAGGATAAAACAGAAAAACCGAATACTGGCCCATTTTCGCTTTCAAAATCGCAAAGCACAAGGAATCTTAGCAGGGCCAAAACTAAACTAAAATAGGTGCCTAAAATAATAGCGAATATTTAAATAAATGGATAATGTTTCAATAAACAAATTTATAAAACATGCACTTAAGAAAAAATCCTATCCTAAAGGGCATAGGGGAACAAGCCTGGGAAAACTGCCCCAGGCGATATTGCAAAATTTTAGATGAGGATTGGTAGATGGGAACCTAATCGATAAGAATTCCAATTTTCAAATATTTTGATCCGATGGTTTACGAGTAATCTGCCGCAACTAAAGAACATATCACTTGATGTATCTTCCCTTCGGTGGTTCTTGAGAAAACTTTTTTGATGCCAATAATTTTTGTGTTAACCTTCAAGAATGTCAGCCAATCTTTAGATTTTTACCATTCTTATAAGCTACCAAAAATCGCGATTCAAATTTCCAAAAAATTGGACCACTTTTCACCCATAATATTAAAAACTTTACTCTTTGATAATAATTCTGGTCTAAGAACTAACTATTTACAAGCCAAATATATTTTATTGACTCCATTCCTACCCTTCCAGAAATAAATTCTTCAGTTTTTTGTTTGTTTAACATTTTTGCACCACTCGAAAAATTATGAATATTTTATATGAAGTAGATGGTTATAGGACACACAAACTGTAAAAAACTGGCGGTGTTGTCAGACTTGGAAAGTCTTGAACCAATTTTTTGAAAATTTGAATCGCGATTTTTGGTAGCTTATAAGAATGGTAAAAATCCAAAGATTGGCTGACATTCTTGAAGGTTAACACAAAAATTATTGGCATCAAAAAAGTTTTCTCAAGAACCACCGAAGGGAAGATACATCAAGTGATATGTTCTTTAGTTGCGGCAGATTACTCGTAAACCAGCGGATCAAAATATTTGAAAATTGGAATTCTTATCGATTAGGTTCCTATCTACCAATCCTCATCTAAAATTTTGCAATATCGCCTGGGGCAGTTTTCCCAGGCTTGTTCCCCTATGCCCTTTACAAGGGCATAAGGCTCATGAAAAAAACTTACAAATGAATTCCCCCAAACTTATGAGAAATTGTGGAGGCAAAGTTAAGTTGGGTAAGAAGGGATCCTTTTTATAAGTCAAGTGTCTTCTAAACACCTAAATTAACGAAAAACATGGTACCAAAATAATCATTTATTGTGCATGGACCTAGTATTAACATAGGCCTGTTTTCCTTATTGAAGTAAGATTAATACGGATGGATACATTGTTTATGAATCATCCTATGATGTAAATACTTATACGGTAGTAATTCGTAGCTCAAACTAAATACAAAAAACTTCTTAAATGAATCTTCGAGCAATAAAAACCGGTCAGGATCACCGTCAGGATAGCAAAGAAATAGTTTGAAAGTACTCAGTAAGCATTGTATATTGACTTGTGTACTCGCTTGACCATAACACAACAAAAAATCTTCGAGTTTTATTTTTTAAGACAGTTTATACAGTTAATCTAAAACGTCTTAAATCATTTCTGAATAAATTTGCACATATATCATGAGTTTTGGGTCCCAATTCCTTATAGGTAAAACCTGTTTTGAAATTTTAAAAAAGTTTAAAAATGTGAGTAGAGTGACTAATTAAAATTTGATTGTGTTAGTAGTGCTAATATTTTTTCGCACCTGTATGTATTTTCCCAATTTATTGGTCAGGTGCAGCCTGCAGAGCCTCCGGAGAGGATGCGGAGATGTGTGAAAGTCTCCATGCGCGAAAAGGGAGCTTACCAAGCCTCCGGAAGCCATGTTAAACGTACCGAAGACCCCTACAAGGCACCGTAGTTTGTGAAAATCTATTAACCGAGTTTGGTAATGAATAAGACGATGAAGGTGCTAAAAAAGCGCCAGTTTCTGGCAGTGAGTAGCCCCTAGGACATGCCCATGTTAAAATCATCGCTATTTTTCATACAAATTCACTAGTGATTGAGCGCATAGTGCTCAATTTTTAGCAGTGATTCAAAAAAAGGCGCTGAATGGAACTGCAGGGTATATTGATTTTTAAAATAAATTTGTACACCAAATCTTTAAATTGCTATAATATCCAAATGCGAGCTACGTCATAAAAATAGACGTATGTGCACTTTGAGGTATTGAAAACCAAACTGCGTTTACATTTTCCGTGTTGCACTGTGCAATTTTATTCGTTAACTAGGCTTGCAACGAATATTAAAGACAAAAGTTCAATATAGCAAAACAACAAGGTGTGGTGAAAAAGAAACTGCAATAATCGAACTTCATTAAAGAGTAGCCTGACTGTATTCTCTCCGTTACCAAGCATTGAAAAAATTATTGCCGTCCGTGTAAAATGGTATTTTGTTAAAACTCACATTAAAGCTTAATTTTCTTTAAAATTTTTCGTCTGTGGGTTGTTACTGCATTTGTGCCTTTGTCACCGCGTCTGCGGTCGCGGCAGACTTTTCTATCCTAAACTTTTGCACCTTGTCAAAATAATCCGTTGCATCCTGCCTGCGATAAAGTTTCGCCAAGTCGGCACAGGATTTGCCAACAGCGTCCAAAGCAGCCAGGTCTGCGCCATGTGTAACAAGGACTTTGATGAGTTCCATGCTGGCGTTCATAGCCACTGCAACCGAAAAGACCGTTAAAATTCCATTTGAGCAGTTGCCCCTCAGCTTTCTAAGCCTTACCTGCGCGCATAAGGAGGGTCCATCCGCAAACGTCCCTGGCATCCGCATTCGCTCCCACCTCGAGGGCGAATTTCACCATTTCCAGCTGATTGGCATCAACGGCGCAGTGGGAGGGTGTCATGCCATTTGTGTCCGTCGCCTCCAGGTGCGCCTTCTTGTTTAGCAAAATGCGGGCAGATGGCAGGTGGCCGTAATAAAAAGCCAACTGCAAGAGGATGAATTTAGGCTCTAACTGCTGGCGACTAACTTCGAGCGTTTACCCACGTGTAGCGGTGTCCGGCCACTTTCTGGATTGCCTAGGTGAACACTACAGCCGGCCGAGAGCAGCACGTCAATAATACACATCTCGTCCTGAATGATCGCATTGGCAAGTGGCAGAAATCCGTTCGGAGCGGGGTATTCTATTAGGCTCGGGCGTCGGCGCAGCATACGTTTAACCAGGAATTGCTGGCCCTTTTTAATGGCACGGTTTAGGCAATTGGTTGACGGCAGTGCAGCCGAAGTGCATGCCTTACAATTCATACAAGAAAATAATGTTTTACTAAATATGATCGCATAATTACAAGACGAAGACAAGAGAGTCAAGTGCTTCTCAGCTTAATCACTATGGACGGCAGTCCATGTAGTGACGAAGCACACCAGGAGAGTGTGCGAAGGCGACTACTATATATACACGAAGAAATGAAAATCTGCTGTGATAGCCAGATCGTAATGAGTAATACACCAATCGAAAGGTATTGCAAAAACTTAAAGGATTGCATACCAAGACTTTAAGAAAACCAATTGGATTGGGAGAGAGAGCGGTGAAAGTGAAAAAGTGCAAATTTTGAAATTTGGAGCTGTTGGGGCCGGTGGGGATAAATGCTCCTATTGAAAATACCCGTCGAATGAGGGGTCATATGATAAATTCCGACGCTCCGTTCAAAAGTTATAGCCAAAATAAGATTTTCTTCGTCTTCCCAAAATGAAAATTTAATTCTGTTTGTCAGTTTGTCAGTTGGTCCAAAACATGTTTTTTAAGCTCTGAAAATTTGATATGACGTTCATCACATCGATATAAAAAACTTTTGTTCTTCCACTTTTGGAAAAACTCGCTAGTTTAGCGGGAAAACAGCTATAAGTAGCTAAAATTCGGAAAGCCGTAACTTCTACACTACTAAAGCTACAGGCTTGTGCTGCATCTCGTTTGAAAGGTATTTTTAAATGTTATAAACGCCTTCTATATGCAATTTGTGTAAATGTAATAGTTAAAAAAATATGAACAAAAGACAATTTTTTAAAACTTTTTTTTAGCTTTTTTTTATTTTTCTCAAAAACGGCTCTAACGATTTTCTTTAAAACCTTAAACTGTAAAGCCCTTGAGATTCCTTAAATTTTGGTATATAACACATTACTGTAAAAAGTCACGTTTAAAAGTTATTTTTATTCGAAAATAGCCACTTTTGTCAGCTCGAACAATTAACGCTCCCTGAGTATTGAATTTTGTGGGAGGGTATCCGAACTGTGTTTTAGGGTCATATAATCAGTAAATTTGCACTTAAGAGTTCCATATAGGAATTTTTTGTTTTACGACTTTTGGAAAAAGCCGCTACTTTAGCGGGAAAAAGCTAAAAATAGCTAAATTTCGTTAGTTTGTAAGTTCTACACTACTAAAGGTACCGACATGTGCTATACATCGTTTAAAAGGTATTTTGAAATACTTAAACGCCTTTTTAACTTAATTTGTTTAAATACAATGGCTTACAAATTATGATTGACCAATTTAAATTTAAATGTATGTATATATTAGCTCCTATGAGAGCAAATGTAAACAAACAAAAACTTCTGATATCAAATAAAAACACCTCTTAACGAGGTAAAAAAACTAGTGACGATCGCACCTTCAACATACAAAAGTTCTGATATCAACATTTGTGACGAAAAATTATTACACTCGTCATTAAATAGACTTTCTAATACTTTCTCATTCGGCACGCTGCAATAGAAAATGCCTATGAAGGTAAAAAGGCTAAAATAGTATGCTAGGGCGGGCCGAATGAGAAAATATTAGAAAGTGTATTTAATGACGAGTGTAATAATTTTTCTTCACAAATGTTGATATCAGAACTTTTGTATGTTGAAGGTGCGATCGTCACTAGTTTTTTACTTAACGAGGTGTTTTTATTTGATAAGATAGAGGGGGAGGTGGTCATTGAAATGAATTTGTTTACATGGGGAGGGAGGGTCTTGCACAATGATTGCACACAAAAAAATCAACTGTAATAATTGTCAAACAGGCCCCAACCAGCAAAATTGTCAATTCTACTAAGTAAATAGTCATTTCACAACAACAAAATACACACAATTAGCAAAGACACAAACCCAAAGCAAAAACAAAATACATGTAACTATTTTAATAGTTACGTAACTATCTTTGTTAGTCAATTTTACCAAGCAAATTTTTTTGTGTGTACGTAATCATTTTATATGTTTTTTTTTATTTAAAGAATTTATTTAAACAGTTTTTTCCTTTAATTATGTCTTTAAACTTGGATATGAAAGCAGAGAAAAATCTTTTTTTAGTGGCTGGGCGGCGAAAAAAAAAATGTTTAGTGGTTCAATCACACGAAGGACCTGGAATGGTTTGACGAATAGTATGTTGGAGATCATTTCAGCAAACTCCATTTATAAATAATATTAAAGGGTGGCTTGCATCTCCGTTTGAATCCACAGATTAAAACAATTTGTTTTTCTTGGGATAACGTAATCATTGGTTTGGATGGGTTGTGGGTGGGGGGGGGGTTTGTGCTGGAGGTTGTTTATTGAAAGATTACTTTTGATCACCAGAGGGGGGAGGGGGTCAAAAATCATCAAAAACGTGATTACGTAATATATGGACCGCCCCTCACGGAAAGTCAACTGTAATATCGTTCATTCCTCTTAGTTGGCTTTCAGACATCAGCTGTCAATTTATCGAACCGAAAACGTTTAAGGGGGGAGATACATATAGAACAAATTTAAAATTCAATTTTTTTTATTCCTTAAATTGGTAATTGGTCTAAAAATGTGTCATGAAAGTTTCACGAAGAAATTATATTTTTTGATAGCCAAAAACAAAAAAAAAATGAAAACAAGAGAGAACGCTATAGTCGGGTTCGTGTCCCGACTATCTAATACCCGTCACTCGGCTAAAGGGAGTGCGAGGGAGATGGATATATATTTTTGGATTGCGTATAACTTTTTAATGAATGGTCCGATTTAAAAAATGTCTTCTTCATTTCGATAGGTATAAATATACACAACAAAATTGCATTTATACTTCTCGGAAATCTTTAAAGGTGTGACCGCCAGGCACATTTTAAAATCGTTAGTGGGCGATTGTGGGCGTTAGAGGGGGAGTGGCGCTCGTCTGAAATAAACTTGCGCTGCGTAGGAAGCCCAAGAATAGCTTTTGTAGTTTCTGAGATCTCAGCGTTCATACGGACAGACAGACAGACAGACAGACAGACAGACAGACAGACAGACAGACAGACAGACAGACAGACAGACAGACAGACAGACAGACAGACAGACAGACAGACAGACAGACAGACAGACAGACAGACAGACAGACAGACAGACAGACAGACAGACAGACAGACAGACAGACAGACAGACAGACAGACAGACAGACAGACAGACAGACAGACAGACAGACAGACAGACAGACAGACAGACAGACAGACAGACAGACAGACAGACAGACAGACAGACAGACAGACAGACAGACAGACAGACAGACAGACAGACAGACAGACAGACAGACAGACAGACAGACAGACAGACAGACAGACAGACAGACAGACAGACAGACAGACAGACAGACAGACAGACAGACAGACAGACAGACAGACAGACAGACAGACAGACAGACAGACAGACAGACAGACAGACAGACAGACAGACAGACAGACAGACAGACAGACAGACAGACAGACAGACAGACAGACAGACAGACAGACAGACAGACAGACAGACAGACAGACAGACAGACAGACAGACAGACAGACAGACAGACAGACAGACAGACAGACAGACAGACAGACAGACAGACAGACAGACAGACAGACAGACAGACAGACAGACAGACAGACAGACAGACAGACAGACAGACAGACAGACAGACAGACAGACAGACAGACAGACAGACAGACAGACAGACAGACAGACAGACAGACAGACAGACAGACAGACAGACAGACAGACAGACAGACAGACAGACAGACAGACAGACAGACAGACAGACAGACAGACAGACAGACAGACAGACAGACAGACAGACAGACAGACAGACAGACAGACAGACAGACAGACAGACAGACAGACAGACAGACAGACAGACAGACAGACAGACAGACAGACAGACAGACAGACAGACAGACAGACAGACAGACAGACAGACAGACAGACAGACAGACAGACAGACAGACAGACAGACAGACAGACAGACAGACAGACAGACAGACAGACAGACAGACAGACAGACAGACAGACAGACAGACAGACAGACAGACAGACAGACAGACAGACAGACAGACAGACAGACAGACAGACAGACAGACAGACAGACAGACAGACAGACAGACAGACAGACAGACAGACAGACAGACAGACAGACAGACAGACAGACAGACAGACAGACAGACAGACAGACAGACAGACAGACAGACAGACAGACAGACAGACAGACAGACAGACAGACAGACAGACAGACAGACAGACAGACAGACAGACAGACAGACAGACAGACAGACAGACAGACAGACAGACAGACAGACAGACAGACAGACAGACAGACAGACAGACAGACAGACAGACAGACAGACAGACAGACAGACAGACAGACAGACAGACAGACAGACAGACAGACAGACAGACAGACAGACAGACAGACAGACAGACAGACAGACAGACAGACAGACAGACAGACAGACAGACAGACAGACAGACAGACAGACAGACAGACAGACAGACAGACAGACAGACAGACAGACAGACAGACAGACAGACAGACAGACAGACAGACAGACAGACAGACAGACAGACAGACAGACAGACAGACAGACAGACAGACAGACAGACGGACGGACATGGCTAGATCGACTCGGCTAGTGACCCTGATCAAGAATATATATACTTTATGGGGTCGGAAACGCTTCCTTCTAGCTGTTACATACTTTTGCACGAATACAATATACCCTTTTACTCTACGAGTAACGGGTATAATTAGGGTTACATATTGCGAATTAGAGTGACCAGCTTTTTTCCAGCACCATCTATGGCACGATATTGGTGCTGTTTATACACGAAACTTTGGGCGCCACAGCTTTTTGCGGCTTGTAGGCGTTAGAGCGGGCGTGGCACCTTGATTAAACAAACTCATGCTGCGTAGGAACCCCTACAATCTAATTTTTTTTTTGTTTTTACCTCGTTGAGATGTCTTATTGTTTATTAAATAATTACAATTATATCCGGCGAGATAGCCAACGGCACATAGCAATGCCCGTCCTCCGAAACTTGCAGGGCTTTAATGCGCAGTCGACATCCGAAGTTTTCTTCTATCTTAGTTACATCTACTGGAGAGGTGGTGCTCCACTCGACCTGCTGCCAGCCAAGGCGTTTATGAAACTTCTCTACGCTGTACACCAATGCAGTTTTTAATAAAGACCACTCAAGTTGCACACTGTTGACTGTAGGATTGGATATCTGCGACTTGAAATTTGGCCACGGGAGTTCCGGTTGCGTTGGACCCAAATTATTAGCCAGCTCTTCGCTACTTTCATTTGACTTGCTGTCGGACATGCTATAAATCATACAAGCTTGTGGGTTTTGCTACTTTTAAACTAGCTTTCTCCAAACATTAGTAATGCCATGAACGTCATGGTTACCGACGTTACCTGGGATATTCAATAGTTACCCAAACAAAGCTGTCGAAATAATATATCCAAATAAAATTCTACGTCTTTACAAACAATGGTTCAATTTACACAAGAGACTTTAAATAAGTGTTATAACAATTGATAGCACTGGCCAACAGATATTTTCTACAGGCCTATACAGCTTTGAATTATGTCACAATCCTAGAAGTATGAAAAAACGAAAAAACCAAGAACGAATCTTCTTGATTTTAGTATTTTGTCGTCTCACTTTTTTTTTAGCACAAACGTTCTTGAAATTAAGAATAAAAACATTCTTGATCTGGCTTTTTGAGAATACATCATTCTTGATTTCGTTTATCTACACCCAAAAAAAAATCCGAAAGTTTACAGTTAATGAGCGTTGTATTAAAAGTATACTACAGCTAGTGTTAAACTGTCAGTATTAATTCAAAACTAAATAATGTTAGAAGCAGACTCAATAGTGTTAAGTTAAGACTAAATAGTGTTAAGTTTATGCCCTGAGTTTAATTTCTATACCGAGGTTTCGATTTTCGTTCCTGGTGTGAAGCCAGGATGCTCTGGTTTGGAACCTGGACATTTCGAACCGAAAAAGTGTTACCGCTTTTTAATGATATTTGACTCGTTAGTATTTTAATGGTTTGACATTAGTGTATTTTGTAAACGACGCTGCGGTCTGTTTAAGGTTTGTTTGTGAAAATTTCTTGTGAACAATTTTAATATTTGCTTATTTTGGGCTTATTTGAAATGTAAGTACATTTAAATTGTGTCTTAGTGCATAACTAATGAGTAAATTCTTTTCTTTTTACTGACACCACCTTGAATTGCGCTTCAGATGCCGGTAAACTGAGGATCTTGCAATTGGCTTGCATTTTTTCTGACCGCGGCCAGCGCAATGTTGACTTCAATATCAGCGTCCTCGACCAAGCTTCGGTATTCATCTGGACGGCGTTCACTCTGGAGATGATCAGGCGACATAAGCGGTAAAACGGCTGCATTTGCCCAAATATGCATACATACGTACATATTTTGTACATGTATTGTATTTATGTTTATTTGTTAAATTAAAAATTACCTTCAGTAATTTATAAAAATGTAAAAAATAATTTTAATAATATATGAAAAGTACAAAACAACATTTTTGGAACTTTGTCTCTTTTATACGGGGTATAATATTTATACTGGCATTATACTAAATAGTATACAAAATAAACTAGCAGCCTAAATTTCAGTACACTGAGTGAGTATAAACTGTATACTCGTTAGTTTAAACTTGACAACTTCGAAAGTTTCATTTTTATACTTTCGAAGTCCATTAGTTTAATACTCAGAGTATCGAGAAATTTTTGACACTCAATAGTTTACTTTTAATGTAGAAATAGTTTAGTTTCTATGATCATTTTTTTTTGGGTGTAGCATAAACACTATTAAAATCGTCCCCAAGCATTCTTGAAATCGTTCTCAACTTCGTCTCAGAGATGAAAAAAAATGAGAGAAATTGAAAATGAGAGAGACATTCTCTCTGGAATTTTTCGGCAAGCTACCGAAGTTCACTATAGTATAATAGTATAATAATAATAGTGAAAATAAGCTATATAAAAAATAAATACTTCGAATTTGTATGTACATACACGTTTGTGAAAAAAAGTGACGCCACGCTAAATGCATCTACCTAGAAGTGTCGCGAAAGTCACTTCCAGAAGTGACTTAGGCGACTCTTCTAGAAGTGCCGCCGTAGTGGAACATTTCTTCCCGACGGGGGTGACTTCGGCGATCTAAATGCGATATCGTGCAAGTCACTTGTAGAAGTGTCGCCGAAGTCACTTCTGGAAGTTACTCAGAAGACACTTGTAGAAGATACCTAGAAGACCCTTTCCTAATTGGAAAATATGTTTTTTGTGCTCATTCTTCATGTTTATTCTTTCAACACATTATTGAAATATATAGTTATAAAAGCATTGCGGCATGTAAGCACGGTCCATAAGCTTGTAGGAAATGGTGTTGTATTATTTTATTTATTTCCAGTTCCGTGTTCCGTCTATGAAAATGCTTAAAACAACAACAAAATAATTAATATTGTGCCATATAAAAATCGGAGGAGGTATTTACCTTTTATAATTAAATAAGTGGAGTATAGTTAAGTTTTCGGTTTGCCCAGAGTTTCACGCCAAGTAATTCCTTGTGCTTTCGCACGACAGACTTGTACACGCTTAAATCTCGATTTCTTCAATCACTTTAATTTTTGATGTAAATAAATATCAAATAAAAACACCTCTTAACGAGGTAAAAAAAACTAGTGACGATCGCACCTTCAACATACAAAAGTTCTGATATCAACATTTGTGACGAAAAATTATTACACTCGTCATTAAATAGACTTTCTAATATTTTCTCATTCGGCCCGCCCTAGCAAACTATTCCAGTCTTTTTCCCTTCACAGGCATTTTCTATTGCAGCGTGCATTCACTGCATCGAAATCTGGTACTTTTGACCGGTACTTTTACAGTGTGTCGCGAGTGCTGTTTTTTGGCTGTTTATTTCGTGTATTTTGTTCATGTCCGATCGATGTCCAGAGATTCTCGTTTTTAATTTACATTTAGTCGTGCCAACATATACTTTATCACAGGTTGTATTTTTGTCTCCTGCACACGGAATCTTGTAAATCAAATTGTTTTTGTGTAATTTTTCTATTTTGCTTTTCATGTTAGAGAAGAAAATATTCGTTATTTGGGCTGGTTTGTGTGCTATTCTGATGTTTTCTTTGTCATATATGTTCGACGATTTTAGTCTGTCGGAGAATCCAGGTACATATATCACAGATTTGTAAGTTTTTGGTTTGTCCATATCTATTTTGTTTTTCTCTTCCTCGTAATATGCTTGTGTCATTTTGTGTATTTTTGCGTTTGGAAAGTCATTGTTTTTAAGGATTGTCCAAATTCGCATCCTGTTTTTCTCGTGGAATATTTCGTCGCTGGTGTCTAAAATTCTTCTAATTTGATTTTTTGCTGTGTTTATAATCATGTTACGGAGGTGCTTGGAGTGGTAATTGATTGTTCTGCCTGATGATGTTGGTTTTTGGTACCAATCTAATTTAATCCTATTGTTCACTTTGCATACCAATGAGTCTAAAAACGGTAATTTGTCCTCTACTTCCATTTCCATTGTGAATTTTATGTCCTTGTGGTATGAGTTTAATGTGTCCAATGTTTTTAGACGTCTTCTTTCTTCACTATAGCAAATAAATCGTCCACATATTTGCTAAGTAGCCTCGTGTTTTGAACTCTGTCGAGTACTTCCTCCATTATGATGTCCGCTATAATTGGTGATGCCGGGGATCCCATCGGTAGTCCTTTAAGTTGCGTGTAAATGTTGTCTTCATATCTAAAGTACCTGTTTTCTGTTATGTATGCTGGTTAATTCTTCAATCATTTCCCAATTTGATTGAATTACCTGTATGGCTAACTCAGTGGGTATACTAGGAAACAACGATACAACATCAAACGATACAAGACATTCATCGTCACGTATATACGTACAGTGAGTCACATTAATATTCGGTTTTTTTTTTTGTCAACTTCAAACGTGAATAAAAAGTTTGAAACTAATAAAACAAAAAATCAAATAATGCAGAAATAAAGCTTATTTTATTACCTTTTCATAGATATATATATGGGCACTTCCAAAAAAAAGTCCACCAAGCCAAAAACCTTGAAACTTGTATAAAACATATTTCCACATGATTTTGCCCCGATATTAGTTTCTAATTAGTTGGATACTGAGCTCAACTACAAATTTGGAGTATAGTTTGATTATTTTTATGACAAACCCCACCAATATACGCAAAAATCAGTTTTTGGCTATTTTTTTGTTATTTTTTGGACCTGTCTTCTGTTGTTAATTTATCCTATAGGAATGCTAATATGTGACATTTTTCTGTACTGAATGCTTCATTCACATGCTAAACTATTAAGTTAAAAGCAAAACATCCAGCAATTGAGAGATAGAGGTAAAGAAATCCGGTTTACAAAACAGTCGGAAAAAATGTCCCGAGCGACATGTCCCGAGCGAATGTGGTTGAAACTGCATAAAAAAAAAACGGCAAAAAATTTTTGAGTAAAACCAAAAGCATTTCACAGCGACATGTTTGAACAACATTCTAAAAAAATCGCATTAAAATATTCCATCAGAATTCGCTAATTTCTGGTGTTGTATGAACTTCCCCGAAATCCACTTCTATTTTTGTCCCGAGCGAATACGGCAGTTTTTTACCGATATCTTAAAAACTAAAAGTGGTACAAAATCAAGATTTTTACCAAAAATAGAGCTTGGGAAGAGTGAAAAGAAAAGCCCATAATTAAAATTAAAATCCATTGTTTTACAATTTTTTTTTAACTTTAAAGGTGTGCAAATGTCCCGAGCGACATTTTGGAAGTGCCCATATGTTATTACTTTTTTTAAAATTTAACTGAGAAACATGCATAAACGAAAGAAAAGCCGAATATTGGGGCCACATTAATATTCGGTTTTCGCTTTTTGTACTAAAAATCAAAAAAATTATTAGGAAATAAACTAAATTTGACATTTGAAATGCTAGCCATTATTGTCTATGGTATCGTTTAAATATTTTGGCATACTTTAAAATTTTTTTTGCCTATTCTGGGCCAGTTTTTCCAACCTAAAAAAAGGATGCACGGGATAATGTCAAAAAGTTTGCAAAGGTACAACAAATTCTCGATTTTTTTTTTAATTTATGGTTAAACCCTTAGCCTTTAACTAGAAATCAGTTTCAGCGCAATCCATTAATCACACCAAAAAAATGGATGGGTACAAAAGCAGAGTCGCTCGAAAATTCATTTTTCCTTAAGTTTTGTATGGAATCAAGCAGCAAAACGCTTCTTCTGAGCGACTCTGCTTTTGTAC